TGTATGACTTCACTGATAATTGGTAGCTGATACTTCTGAACTATAACTAGGAGGTAGGATGTTCTGCACAGACTTGAAGAAAGCTTGCTTTCTCTTCAGTTTAAGGAAATCCTCCCATCTCCACTAATAACTAGTGTACACATATACTAACGTTATTCATAGACACTCAACATGTACAGCAGATTCTGTCTCAGAGCTTTTATCTTTACAGATTGTTCTGAGTTGGGGCTTGTTTCACTGTATGAAAATGGGAGGTGAAGGAAGAGAAATATATTATTTTGAAGCTCTTGTGCCATCAAAAAACCCTGGCAGTCACCAATCATGGAGCAATGCACTGAGATTTGAGGAGGCATGTTGTAACATCATACTATAGGTTCTCTATTTGGTTTGTTTTTTAACTTTGTGTAGCCAGTTGCAGAAACGTTTGTATGTTCTGCACTAAATTTCCAGTCATGTTACACATGGCATTTGATTCAGTTGTATCCCATCACAGGAGCTGAAGAACTGTGCAATTGATCCCTGTGTGTGGAACGTTTGTTTGAGTCCTTGCCCTGGGGTGACTTTTGTATGACCCATTTGTATGTTTAGCCCAGAAATAAGTTTTGCACCTTTAAGACTGGTTCTGAGAGTGAAGGGGAGGGAAGATGAAGCGCAGAGTTTTTTTTTCAGAAACTGCACTCACTCCTCCACATTCCTACTCCTGGACTGCATTGTTTGAGGATGGACAGACAGATGGCAGGACAGAGCTCTCCTTTGCTTTTAGTTAGTTTTTACCTAGCTGACTCAGAGATGTTCCCTAGACTGTGGTTTTTCTTTTCTTTGGACCTGTTTAAACCTGCTCTGGTCAGAACAACCAGAGGAGCACCGGCAGCTCCACCTGTGGCCCACTGGGCAGGGCCTGGGCTGTCATTTCCAGCACCAGAGGGACTGATCAGAGACTGAGTGAGCTGAGCTACAGCTCACGGAGGGTACTTTTCGGAGTTTGTCACCTCCTTTGGAGCAGCGAGAGGTTTTATTGTTTATATGGCTCATTTATTTTGTGCTGGTGAATGCCTGCCAAATAAACAGTTTTTTTTCCATTTTTGTCCAAGGAAATATTTTCCTGAACTGGTTGAGGGAGGGGCTACTTGAATCTGCTTTCTACGAGAAACCCTTCAGAGGTTCTCCCAAATTTGCCCTAAACCAGGACAGTCCTATGAGAGAACTGATTTGAGTTTTGTGAAGAGTAAAAAGCAGCAACTGCTTTACTTTTTATTTAGTTCTCTTTCCTACCGGTTTTCTTTGTGTCAAATAACACATGACTTCCCTCACTCAGTACCACCAGACTTGCCTTGAAAGCAGCACCTCTGGAGTTACTGTTTTTTTTTCTGGACTACAGCTGTACTATGTATGTTAAACAAAGCAGCAATTATACAATATATTAGAGGCTTTTCTGCAGCCTTCACAATTTTAAACATGCCAATTGCAGTGTTTCTCACTAGTTTCTTCTTAATTCTTTTTAATGCAAGAAAAAAAAAATAAAAGAGGAGCAGTTCTAGGAGACTGGAGAATAGAAAAATGCTTACGGGAATATGTAAAGTACCAGGCTTTTTTTGCTATATCACGGGGCATCAAGTATTGGATTACATGAATAGCCATATAGTGCTCATTGTATCATAATAATATAAATGAGCCAACCTTAAAACTGAATAGTCCTAATTTTTTACAATTATTTTCAGCATGCCTATACTATCTTGTAGTGGGTGATATAGACATGCATTTACAAGGGCTTGCCTTGCAAGCTGATAATCTGCAAAAATGTAATCATTCATTAGGAACATCATAAATCAGCACAGGGAGAAAATGTTGTAAATGCCGTGCAAGATTCTTGTTCTTGTCCATTTTTTTATTAAAGAATTGGAGTACCAATAAGAATCAGATAATTGATAGATTTTTCTTCAGCACACTGTTGGTATGGACTGAAGTTATTCCCAGTTTAGAGTTTTTTTATCTTTCTTTTGATTTTTGTACTGAACATTTCAGAAGGTTAATGCAGAATGATGTTTCATTGCTGCACTTGTAACACAATCATGGGTATGTTTGATAAGTCAGCAGATTTAACATTAGCTTTTTAACCACCACAGATACCAAGTATCATCTGTGCCAGTAAGTCAATTATGGAAAATAGGTCAGGTGGGTTCATTCCTAGAACATGGGCTTAAATATGGTCTGTTAGTGTGGTAGCTTGAAAATTTCTGAAATGGTGACTCAGTGCCCAAAGCTGACATATGCAGGGGCATAAATCAGAATGGTGGGTTGGAAGAAAATTTCCAGGTACCAATTCTGTCAACAGTACATGAATGAGATGATTATTACTTGTACAGCACTGCAGCTATAAGGATTTGTTTTGCTGAAAATGAAAAGAAACAATAAAACCAGTTACCAGAGTGTTGTAGCAAGCCCCCAGCTGGGTAATAATTAGCATTGACTCCATGACTGCAGAAGGCTGATCAATCGCTTTATTATGTTATGCCATGCCATGCCATGCCATACCATAATCATTAAGAAAAAACCCATTGCCCTTGCAGACAGTCCAATACAGCTTTGACCAGATTGGTCAATCAATCCAAACACCATCACCATTGGCCAATCAAGACATCACCCTTTGGTAAAAAAATCTCCATAACACATTCCACATGTGCACAACAACAGGTGCAGCAAGTGAAGATAAGACTTGTTTATCATTATTTTCTCCAATCTTCTCACAGCCTTCCCCAGGAAAATGCCTGGGAAAGTTGTGCCTGCTGCTCTCTGTGGAGAGTGCTGCGGCTACACCAGAGAACTCGTTTTCTTGTTACAAATAAAAATGTGGTGGTTGTTCATGCCAGAATACAGAGCTGCTGGAGAGACATTTATGAAACACTGCAAATTCTTATGCTACTGTTTATTTACATTTGGGGCTACTTAAAGCTATTTCGTGATCTCTAACACTGAAGTCAGATTACAAATTTATATTAAATAGCCTAGTTTGAAAGAAGTTACTGAATTTTAGGAGACCTTCTCAAGGGAAACTTGGTATCTATCAAGTGCTCTTGATGCAAATGTGATATATATATATATAGATATGCCTTATGAGTGGTTATAAACATAGCATATGCCATCACTGTATGTATTTTATGTGCATGAAAGACTACTGTTCTGGTTTGTATTATTTAAGCAAAATAGCAATAGCACTGAAACCATTTTTCTGTGCCCTGATTTCTGCATAACTTCCTTTCCAAGTTCTTGGTTGCTGGTAAGAATAGATGGTTAGTTTCAACATAGTGATAACTGACCAAGCAATCCTTCCTCCTTCTGATATAAAAACCTTATTTGTTCACCTGATACATTACTCAAACTTGTTTGCTTCTGTAGAAACCAGTAACAACAAAACACATCAGGGCAAGTGGTAACCCAGTGTGTGAAATCACTACCATAATTACTCTTATTCTATTCTTTGGGATATTTAAAAGTGTTTGTGGTGTCATTAATGTAGAAGACAAGACTGTTTTGGTAGCAGGCTAGCATAGCACACAGCAGATTCCTTGACTCAGCAAGTTTGTGTCTGAGATGAATGTTTAACATGGTCAGTGGCAACATCTCTAGACAGGTTCAAAAACACTGAAACCTCTTTAAAACACAGACACAAATTTTCTCCTTTCCTGTCCTTCCCAATTCCTAGGGAAAAAGTGATGTAGGGAGGAATTCACAATATAGAGGTGATAATTACATCTGTAAACATATTAGAAGTTATTATTTACCATAGAGATGCTATAAAATGTAAAGAATATTTATGCTAGCCTAACACTGTGGTATTAACCCTATACACTGAACTTCCTGGCACTGAGCCTTCACATTGCAGATACTGTACAAAACCACTTTTTTCCATTGGCTAGTGTCATATGTAAAATACGTGCATCTGTAAGTTGGTATCTGCATATATGTGAAGTATTGCCTAAGTGCAAGAATTTAAAAGCCATGTGTCAGAGTACTAAATCATGACAGTTTAAATTTTAAAAATATAGTAATTTCTGCCTTCTTTCTTGGAGGTCAAGTTTCGAAACTTTTGCTTGAAAGCTAGAAGGTGATTGTAATTCTGCTTTTGTTTTGTTGGCGTTGCAGGCACTTTGCCTATTCCCATAAATATGAAGCATTGCAAAAAACAAACTTAACATTGAACTTTGAAACCCATCTGTGGGATCTCTAGAGATTTCTCTTTCTTGGTGGTCCTTTGTCCTCAATGCAACGGAATTGCAAATATTAGCCACTATATTGCCTAAATCAGCCAGAGGAAGTGCCTCGTGCTAGAATAGGCTGGCTGTAAATCTAGCCTCTAAGAGTAATAAGGTGTTTATTACTGCTTATCACCACTATGAGCTTGTTTCTGGAACTTGCTACAACAAGGTCACATCATGTTTACATGGGGTCCTAGTCATAAGAGGCATGCTCAAATCCTTTTCTTTGTCACTAGTAAATATGCATTCACCTCAAATGAGGTCTCAGTTACCATCTGAGTAACTGAGTGTGTCAGCAAATCCAATCCTATTAATTAAGTTCCTTTTTGTTAATTTTAGCTTCTCCCCCTCATCTTGTAAATCAATCTTCTTGGTTCCTCAAAGTCTGAGCTCTCCTGATAAGGAGGCAATACTTGTCTTGGGATCTTGGTGTCTGTTGCTGTTATCTCTATCCAGTTAGGATAATGCAAAGAATTTCTTGGTTATCTTTTCCATTCCTTGAGCTAGTTACAAAAAGTATCTTACATCACACAGTTTCTATTTTAATATTATGCTATAGCCTAAAACCTAGGTTTACCACACTACTTAAAAGAGATTAATACAACGTAACTTTCTGACATAACACATATAGTATTCATTTTAATATTTGCGAAGAGCCAATATTGTAATACATATCTATAACAGGCAGCATCTAAGCAGTGATTTTAGGGATCATCTTTGCATCTCTGGTGCTGTGCTGAGAAACTAACAGGTGCAAACCTCTCGGCACCCAATTATTTTGGCTTCCTTATTGTGGCCGCTTTGCACGTGGCTGCTTATGGGTGTTAGCCTCACTTCTCTGCCGGCAGCCACGCTAAGCCGTCCCGGAGAGAGGTAAATGCTCTGGTTCCAGGAGTTGCAACTTCTAGCCTTGCACTTAAGCTCAAAGTCGCCGGGATACAGGGAGGAAAGCCAAGCCATGCAGGGCCCTAGGGGTGGCGGCACTCTCCCGGCCTGAAGATTCTCCACCCCCCTCCCAAACAGACCAGCCTTCCGAACGCGTCAGGCTTGGCGCGGAGAGATGGCGCCAGGTAGCAGGCCACAGGAGGGGGCCAGTGTCGCCACTTCAGGGTGAGGGGCAGCAAGGCACGGCTAGGCTGCCCCGTACCCCCCCGCCCCAAGCCGGGAGCAGTGGCACGCGCCTCTTCCCCGCCCCCTCTTCAGCCTTGATCGAGACGCTGGAGGCTTCTCACGGCGGGAGGGAGCACAGGAAATAAAAGCAAGTGTGCGCGGCGCTGGGGGAGGGGGATTCCTGCTCCCGCTCCCCGGCCTTGTCCTGTCGCGGAGCCAGGAAAACAAGGTAAACTTTGTCGGCCGTCGTGATCCACGGGCGCGGTGCGGCGGCGCGGAGGAGATTCGGCGGCAGGGAGGGAAGGGAGGCCCTTGGGCGGGCCGCGGGGCCGCCGCGGTGGGGATTGAGGAGATGCGGGGCCCCCACAGTCGCCGCTACCGGGTGCCAGTGCTCCGCGCGCTCGCCCCGGAGCGTGTTAGGGCGGGAAGGGCGCAGTTCCCGGTAGTGAGGCCGGGAGGGGGTTCGGGCAGTCTAGAGGGATTGGGAGCGCCGTCTACTGGGACAGTATTCGGGAGTTCATATTACTGGGAGGGTAGAGGTGGTGGAGCACTGCCGCAGAGAAGGCAGGATGGCGCCGGGGCTGAGGGCCCCGCAGGCAGGCTCCGGCCAAGGGGGCGGGAAGGCGCTCCCGTATCTTTGCAGACACGCTAGCTCTCTCTCCATGCTGGGCAACTTAACGGCCGGGCACTCGCTTCTCTCTTAGAAAGTTACTTCAACCTGTGGGTTTGTGAGGCAGGGAGACCCCCGGTCTGGGGCTGAGGTGCGTCCGCCAGCAGGGAGCCCTTCCCCTCGCACTTAGCTCGTCGTCCACAGACAGCCCTTGCTGAGGGTGCCCTGGACCTCAGCACATCTGCTGGTGTGTGTGATAAATGGTGCTGTGTTTGGTACTCACCCAGATCTCTCCCGATGCCCAGCTTTTCTGAACTTTGGCAGTGTCTTGCCATCACTGGCTAAAACTTCCAGCTGCTTGAAGCTTTCTGGTCCCTTTTTTAGATAAATGATCCTTACTGAGGATCGATATTCAGGACCTTTGTATGTCTTCTCACAAACGTCCTGGTCTTGAACAGCTTTTAGCATTGGTGCTGGCCAGTAGTGCAGGCTAGATGGCTCAGGCTCTACAGCTGTGATCCTCCATGTCTCGTGGTCTCCTGAATATTAAGGAGTTGCACCTTAACCAAGAGTCACATTTCCAAGTCTAGGAAAGTGAGGTGAGAAGTCTAGGATTAGGTGAGAACTACAGTATTTTCTGTGACTTGAATTTTGTATTTTTGAATGCTGCTTATATGTTTAACAGCGTTTTTTCCTTTTTTCCCCCCTTTTTTTTGGTAATGCTGAGAACTGCCTGGTGGTAGTCATTGAATTGGTAATTGCAGTGTTTACTGTCTACAAGGTAGGAAATAAAACAGTAGTGAAAGCTATAAGGGCTTTGGGACTATTTCATGTGATATTTGATAGGAAATTTCTGTGTGCTGCTCAACTTTAACTGATTACAGATGTCTTAAGCTGGCTAAATTTTAAAAGAAACAACTACAGTTAGTCTAGGCTAACAGGACTTTTGTTTAAACAAATGAGATTTTTGATGAGGTTGAAGTTGTGAAAGAGAACCTCGGGTATTGAAAGTAGTGGGTCTTTCTTCCTACATAGGCAGAATTGACTTTTTTTTTGTGTAACTAAATTAATTACTTCTAATAACTCATGTTTATTGGAAGTTTTAATTAGTCGTGTAATTTGTTGGAAGTACATATGCTCATGAATCAGTGATGCATTACCAAGAGTTTTCTGTGATTTAAGTTAAAATATTCTATTTCAGTTTAGATTGTGTATGTGCCCCACGGAATGATTATTTAGAGAAGGCAGTGGTCACAAGTAGCTTAATCCTTGTTCCTTGCAATCTCTGATTAATCCAAAGTACCTTTCTGCAGGTCACACTTTGTTTTACTAAAACAGCTATGATATTTTTGGATATCATCACCATTGCCATTACCTTTTTTGGCCTGCTCTTTTTTTCTGGTCATTCAGAAAATATTTCTATCTCGAATACAGAACCCACAACAGGGATCTTTTTCTTTCTCTCTGTGGGCTGCTTGCAGGGAGGCATGTGAGTCCATTCCTCAGGGTTATCTGTCTCTTTGACTATAACCTCTATAGCTAGCAGATCAGAAGATACCACTGAGATAGCAATATAATAATGCAAAATATTGGAAAAACACAGCAATTTCTTTTGCATTAGAAGAAGTCTCTTAATCCCTTTTGTCTGACTTCCCTTCTCTGGAAGTGTCCATAATGACAGAGAATGAGTTGGTATTTTTGAAAGATAGATGGCACATATTTGGGTAAAACCTTGTTAGTATAATCACCTACGTGTCTCTTAAATATACTCTTTTACAAAAAGAGAGATGGTAACTAAAATAGAGTAGTTCTGAAATTGCAGAACAGGTATAATGAAGGAGAACCAATATAAAGAAATTATTTTAGAAGTCAATCAAAATGCTATAGAAACTTAATAATTGGTTAGCATTTAATTTTAGGGCTTACAGTTCCATATTACTCCTGGTGAGAATTTCCAGTGGTGTTTTTCTGGCTGCCAGTTGAAGAACGGGATTATTAACTTATTTGCATTTTGGAAGTATCTTGGCTCAAATAGAGGACTGAAAGTAACCAGAAGTTATCATGTCATAATGAGAGTCTATGTATCAGCTACACACTTGACCTATTGCTGAAGAGTCTCTTGGAAAATACCTCTTGATGGAGTCTCTCCAGCTGTGAAGGAGGATGTGTGATAGGGGTGGGAGACAGGGAGTGCATGATTCAGCTTTTTTTTTTTCCCGTGGGCTTTTTTTGTGTGGTTTTTGAGTTTTGTTTTGGCTGGGCTGGGTTATGGATATTTTGTTCTATTGTTTCTCCTGGTCTTAGTACCTTTGTGGGTAGAAGGTGAGAAGCAAACCACGTGACTGGATACCCTCTCTGAAAGTGAAGTTTGGTTCCTGCTTAGTTATTTCGTACACAGCAGGCCAGTAAGACAGATTTGTATGTAAGTATTTGCAGGTGTTTGGCAGCAAATTATTTTAGTGAGGGGTAGGGAAAGCAAGCATCTGGGAAATGTCAAAGCTGTTAAAGGTTTTGGCAGGCCAACGTCCCCAAAGCCTGCCATTTGATGATGAATAAAAACTGAGTTTCAGAGAAATAGGCTGCAATATGATATTTTACAACTAGGGATAGAGCAGGCTGCTGTTTCTGATAAAAGGCATACAATAGCATATATAACAAATAACAGTTTGTTAAAAATTACATTTCAGTTGCAAACGTGACAGGAAAGTCCATCAGGTAAACAAAGCTTAGCACATATTTTCAGAAAATCAGATGTTCCCAGAAGTACACAATACCCACAAAGATATTCTTTATAGCTACTATTTCCAGGACACTGACTGTTTAGAAAAGTATCCTGTAACAAGTCACTATCACCCTGAGCTACGTCTGAGCTTTTCTTATATTTATGGTAGTGTGAGGTCCCGGGTTTTCTGCTTTTGGGATGACCCACGAGTCTTTTTTTCCCAGCCCGCTGGCTGAAGAAAGAGTCGGGATTCTTCAGCTCATGTTCACAAGGTTGTTTATTGTCTATTATCCAAAACATTTCCTCTCAGACCCGCAGAGGTCTGATCTGCAGGTCTGTGAAGGGCGCCCTGCCCTGAGGTGGTGCCATCTCTTTATACTGCTTTATTTAGAGTTATTTTCCAGTACCTATCATCTATGTTAGACTGTGTACTTCTACTTTAGGCCAATCCAAATATGCCACCATCACCAAGAAGATGGAGGCTAGGAGGAAGAAGGAAGAAGCATAGGACAACGCCCAAGTCCCTCCATCTTGCCTCCTAGACCCCTATAGCAGAAAATCTTCAAAATTCCACTTTTCACCCGGTGGCAACTATTATTATGCTACTTAAACTTTTGTGACTTGTGATTCTTCATACAAGTTTGGTAATTTGCTCCATGGGTTAAGATCAAAATCCCAAGTGTCTTTGGCTTCCTGCCAGGGTCTCTGGGCCCCTGCCAGGATCTCTGAGCCCCTGCCAGGATCTCTGAGCCATCCAGGGCACCCAGAGAGATGTTCTGGGTTCTGACAGTGAGGGAGTCTGCAGTGATAATGGTAATACACTTAATGCGTGTAAGTGCCCTCTCACCCTTTTTTTCCCACTTGATTTGGTAGTTTTCTGTATTGATGTATTTCACAATGTAACTGTGCTTTTAAAGTTGCCTTTTTCACAGCTTAAGAATGTAACTAAATTTGCATACTCAGGACTTGTTAACTTCTGGAAAAGAGTATAGCTTTTCTGTGCTTGATATATTAAGCCAGAATTTTCATAGTCTGCAGGGTGTGTTGTAGCGATCTGCCAGTGACAGGAAATTAACATTGCCTTGCTTCACGGGGATTAGTTGTCCACCTTTCTTTTTTCTTTTGCTCACTACTCCCTCTCTCATCTTGCCTACCTCACCATGCTACTATCTAATTACCCTGCAGGTACAGACCTGTGTGATAACAGAATTGAGATAATGAATTACTTGAGGCATAAGGTGGCAGATTGATATGCAGAAATCTAATGCACAGATGTGTTGATGCAGCCTGCTTTCAGTGTATATCCCCTGAAAAGGATCTGAGGAAATTAAGCAGCCTTAGAGACAGGGGAAGGGAAGATGCTGTTACATCTTTGTAGTTCTGTGAGCTGCACAGACACTCTCTTAGCTGTGGGCATGGCAGAAAGCTGATATGAATCCATTTAGGAGTTATTTATTGTGATTTGGGGAATAAGAAAAAGAATGGTGGTGTTTGGAGAACAGTCTATTAGGTTTTATATGTTCAGGAGAAACCTCTAGAGGTTAGTTTTTTAGTCTTGCATTAATTTACTGAAAAAACAAAACTTTGGTGATGATATCTTTTAAGCCTTAACCATGAAACAAACAAACAAAAAAAGCAGAGTAGAGGGCATATTTTTCTTCCCCATTTGGTCAAATCTATATGCTTGCAGATAGACTGAAAAGGTGATTGTAGACATCTGATATTACTTGCAGTTAAAATACTGTATTATGGTTTTTCTTGAACGATAATTTTAGTTGGGGAAACTGTGGAATCCTGTGATGTGAGTTTGCGCTCTTTTCAATACAAGGAAGTATGTACATTAGACCATATATAAAATTTTTGATGTACTGTACTACCTTGTGTACCTTGCATTCCA